AAGCAGAAACAGCAAGCAGAAACAGCAAGCAGAAACAGCAAACATAAACAGCAAACATAAACAGCAAACAGGAACAGTGTCGGCAGCAACTGATGTTGTAATTGATGGTACTACTAGTACTAGTAGTACTACAAACAAGAACAATCTTATGTTTTTCTACTACTATTGTCTGCTGCTGGTGGGGGTGGATCATCAGGAGTTGTTCTTGAGATAAATAGGAGGCCTTCAATCATATATCAGGGCCCTCTCTTAGTAATTTAGTTTCCTGTAACCCCCGGAAACAAGGAGAAACAAAGAGAATCTTTTCTCCTTGTGAAAAAGGGCAATATTCTTGTTGTCTCTCATTGTTATAACAAAGAGAAACTAAGAAAATATTGCCTCTTCTTGTTTCTCTTTCTCTCCCATTGTTTTCATTAGGAGAAACAATGAGAATATTGCCTGGGCAATTTTCGAATTGTTTCTCTTTTTTGAAGCAGAGTGAATATAATCTGGGCACTATTCTCTTTGTTTTTACATTGTGAAATGATGGAGGCAGTTCCAGTTCATACAGAGAGAAACAAACAGAAACAAAGAGAATATTGCCTCTTCTTGTTTCTCTTTGTTTTGTCATTTTTACAAAGAGAAACATGGAAAAAACTTATGGGAAACCCTGATCTTGGTTGGCAACTGTCTTAAATACTAACAGAGGGCCCAGTAGATAACTATTGAAAACTCAGCTCCTGATATGCACTACCAGGGTTTATGGGGCAAATGCTGCATCAGAGAATACTACCATTATTGCACTACCTAATATACATTTCTCACAATGTTTTCAATTTTCCCTACTGAAGTGTACTATTACAGTACAATTAATAATTCACACATACTGAGGTTGTTGTACAATGCAACAGTACTTGAAAACTGTTTGTTGGAACAGTCTACAGTGCCTTTTTTCATCCGTGACTGTTGTATAATGCTGTTGCAAAATGATATGTCATCATGGTGTAGTATGATAATAACATCATAACTGTTTGATAGTAGCCCCATACCACCATTCTTATGCTGTTGCTATTCTTCCTCCCTAGTAGTACTACTACTACTACTAGTTATTCAATGATGTATCCATTTCTTGCTTCTCATACCCACCAATCCAATTTTTTAGCTACATAGCTACATTATCCTTCCTGTAACTAGTATCAATGTTCTTACTAGTGCAAAGTTCACTGATGATCCTCTGTGCCCTACTAATTATCATTTCTGAAGGAGCAGATACCTCAACAGCAAGATACTTCCTTGCTAGAATGACAGCCAATACTGGAACTTTATTCTTCTGATTTCCTGACCATTGGATAGAGTTGCAATAGTGTCAGATCTTGCCACTCTTGTCTGTCTCAATCACCAGGTTTAAGTTGAGGTTGAGGCATGCAGTACCTACTAGTACTAGTAGTAAGCAGCTCCAGATGGCATGATTCCTTGACAGTACTACTACTACTACTCTGAGCTCTCTTTGTGCTTGTTCCTGCATGATCAGCAAAGGGTTCTCCTCTTTACTGTCACTAGTATCAGCACCACCAGCAGGAGGTGAGGAGGCTGCCACAGAAGAGTTACTCATTGGTTCTGTTGCTACCTTCAACAAGCAGTGCCTCCCCCAATGGTCTCTTCAGCAATCCCACTGGTGGTCCTGTTGTTCCTACTCATCTCTTACCTCATCAGAGATTCAGTATTCCAATAGTAATTATACTACTAACTACTATCTCCTCTTCAGAAGAAGAAGCTCCAAGAATTCATATTAAAATTTAGTGTTGCCTAAGTATTTAGACCCATATGAATTCACCAGTCTTGCAATACTGAGCACACTTTTGGACTGTAGTGGCACCATTGCAAATTTTTTGACCCTACTAAGGTAGTACTACTGCCCTGAAATCCTTTGATCAAATACCATTGTGTCATAGAAACCTAGTCAGTAGAAGAAGCAACCTTTGAGTAGCACCAAAATTACATCACCATGCTGTATCCACGCAGGGCTTGGTTACTGCCCTGGTACAAAAAACTAACACTAACAAACACTAGTTATTTTTTGCTTAATTACATGCACCTCACCTCAAGCTGGTTACAAAGCTTACTAACTGAATTTTGTAATCAGGACTTGAAACCCAACCCTTCCCTATGGAGAGGCCCATGTTTTCTCCATGATAATAGTAGTACTTGCAGTCTGGTTACAAAAAAGTGGGTGTGCTCTGTATGGTGACTACAGCACCAAGAACAATAACCTTGCAATGCATGATGGATACATGTAAATTTTGGTGCTGCTCAATCCATTTTGTAAATAACTGCTGTAGCATTGCATCCTTGGTCCCATGCCACCAGCACAAGTACTACTACTATGATCTTCAACAACACCAACAAAAAGAAGAAGCTCTCAAGCTAAGAAAGCTCTTAAGCTTGTTGGTGGTGTTCTTGCTGAAGATATTACTAGTACTTGCAGTAACCTCACTTCAATCTTGAGCTAAAACTCTTGATCTGTGATGTTACTGCTGGAATCAAGAATGTAAGCAGGATTTTGTACCTGTTGAGGTGCACCTCAACAAGAACAGGTACCAAAATTCTGGTTACTACATTCTTCTTGCTGGTACTAGTACTAGTAGATCTAGGGGTTGGCAACACAACCGTCTTTGAAAAACATTGCGCTGCAATGGTCCACAACGCCTTTTCCCATCCTTGACCATTTCACAATGCCATTGTGTAATAAAATGTTCAATATTAATATAGTAGTAATTACTTGACAGTAGTAGTCCCATACCACCATTATAATGTTGCTATTTCACAAATCATTCAACAAGAAGGTGCCCATTTGCTTCTCATACCACCAACAATCAAATTTTTCAGCTATACCAGCATGATAGTGCTACTACTAGTACTAGTACAAAGTCCTCCCTGCAATATCAGGATCAAGCTTAGTTTGTAGATTGCTGATGATCCTCTGTGTCCTACTAAGAAATATTCTTTCTGAAGGAGCAGATGTTGCTTGAACAGCAAGATACTTCCTTGCTAGAACAGCCAATGGGCACGAACCGTCCGACACCACATTCATGATACTGTACCCGTGAAGATGACGAGAAACTCTAAGGAATTCTCAAGACCAATAAATACCTTTTTAAGGGCTTATTACGAAAGGTTCGGTATTTATTTTCAATTCAGGAAAACATGAAAATCATCTGTTTTCATTCCTGATTGATAAAAGATGTCATCAGGGGAATTGAAGAACCTTCTTTTTTCCGAGACCTCACAATCTTTTTCCGAGACCTCATTGTGATTCTATTCTTCGCTGAGCATTTTCATGATGATTTTAGATCTTCTGTTCTCGGTTCTCATTATTGACACATTCATACTATGAATAAATCGCTCTCCCCTCACCAACGACATTAATTTAAAACGAGAAACAACAAATATTTCCAGCATGACGTCAGGCGTACCCGTAGGCGATAGTCCATTTGGTCCTACCGAAATGACACCCGAAGAACAGAGACGACACATGTCTGGACTCTGCTGCTTCAACTGGCTGGGGCTAACGTCTCTCGCAGCCTTCATCTGTGGAGTTTATTCCTTCGCATACTGCAACTTCTTGTCTCGATACGTCACATTGAGCGATAATTATTCCCCCGGTGACTTTGCAGCCGCCTGTAGCGACTTGGGATATGAAGATGGAGACTCCTTCGATGCGCAAACTTGTCAATCCATCATGGAGGACCACGCCATTGGTTTCTCCTATTGGCAAGCCACCATCCCAGTTGATCAAAGAGTCTGCTTCTCGTACACTCAGCTAACTCCATGGGGATATGCATCGCCAGACTTTGACTCGAGCTTCTTCACGAGTCGTACCTTTGCCATTATTGGATATGTCTTTGGGGGCATGGCTTGGTTCACCCTTGCTTGCTCGAGTTGCTGCATGATCGACCAGCAACGCCTCAAGGGAATTGGATGCTATTTCATCATTGCGAGCTTTTCACAGGGTCTCTCACTTGTGATGTTTCGTTCAAACATCTGCGAGAAAGGATTCTTTGAACCATACTTCGTTCCACCAAGTCAGCGAGACAACGAAACGTACCTTGAAAGCTTCAATAGCGTTGTTGCGGATGTCGAGTGCGAGTTGAGCTTTGGATCGAAGATGGCAATCAGCGCATCTGTCCTATATTTTATCTGTGCCTTGATGGTACCATTTTCAGTGGTTCCGCTGTACGAACAACGATACTACCGACGCGATTTTGATGGCGATCAGCAACAGCGAGGTCAAGACGAAGCTTCTCCGTCTCCACTTCCGGAAGGTGAAGGTCCGGTCGTTCGAGGACACGTGACAGGAAAGGTTTGATTCTGTGAAACGATAAGTGAAAGCAAATCCGGATTGTGCCGAAAATAATGCACATCAATACCCTTTTAAGTGATTCAATGTTTTATGTCCATCAAAGTAACAATGGCTTACCTTGTAGATTCTGTAGAATTGCAGCAAAAGCACTGACCAGCGCTGACGGCATTCATTATCAAATTACATTCTCTCTTCCACCATCTTCTTAGTTTTTTATTTAAGTAGCACTTAAACCTTGCGAGTTTCATGTACCTAGCAGTTGACTTTCAGGTAGTTTCGATTATTCGTTAAAGAAATAGTAGGAATAATGCACGGGATGGTCCGGATGTATTGTGTGATGTGAAGCTGATTCAAGAGCTCAATAGAATTATTGGGGGAGTTTAAGATTGTGATCTCTTAATGTTATCCATAGTAGCATCATGCTGTGTCAGTTTCCATCAGCAGACTTCTTGTTAAATCCCAACCACACTTGTTATCCAGATCCTGCTCCGTATTGTTCGTGCATGATCTCTCATGGCAGCAAGTGATTTACTTCAACTGAGATTGCATGATCATGTCCCAGTATTCCCATGAATACTTGAAATTCCAAGCATCAGTGTTTAAAATCCAAGGGTCAAGCATGTCATTTATTGGTGTCAAATCATATCATACCCAATGCTGTTTTCTTAGGTTTCTTTGTCAGGCATTTGAACTCTGCTGAGGAAGAGAACAAAAAGGGGCACTTATTTGACTTGCTTCCTCAGCAGTATTTTCATTAAGTGTTGATCCTTGACAGCTATTAATTTTTTACAAAATGAGAGAATTCTCATGAGCTCTCCCACCACTTTGAATCTATTGCTGGGAACTGTTTTTTGCTGCTGGTCTGACTTTGTTGTTTCCTCTCAATTGAAATTTGTTTGCTAATGTGAAGAAATACTACTACATTTGTGCTTCGTGTGTCTGTTTTTCCTTAGTAACATAGTAATCAAATCACTGAAAGAAGCCACAATAGCCATCTTAATTTTTTCTGCCTTTTGGGCAATCCACAAATCAAGGGTGGCTAACAGCTCCTAGTAGTAGTGGCCATGGGCAATGAAATCTATTGAGCACTACGAAGCCCTTTCGACCAGAAGGACTAGAGTAGTACTCGATCCTTGTTCGTCGACATTACACAATGGGTTGTGTACGTACTACGTAAAGTACTATTTAAGGCAAGTTACGAGTAGGTATGTATCGTAGTAAGGGTAGGGAGAAAGTAGACGTACGGTACGTTAAGTGCCGTACGAGTAGGTACCGTACCAAAACGCTGCATGGAACAGCTTAGGAACGATGCGACAATCGATACTAAATCCGATGATCAGAAACATCTCGTCCCCACCACACCATCCTGAAACACGAACAGGTTTCACTGTGGTAGGTGGTGAGGACACCCACCACACAAACATAGCAACAAAGTCTTTAGCAAAGAAAACCAAACACCGTATACAACAAAGAGACTCACGTATTCCATCACAGCCGCACAGAGATCGAGTGGATAGAAAGAGAAGTAAGGGAGAGGGAACGTCTGGAAGAACAGCGACGATCACCGACAGACAAATACGCATTTCTGAAAACTCTCAACGAATACTGTGATAGGGCGATCGGCGTTTCCAGCACAACTTGATAAGACGTTTTCTCAAAGGCCAGAGCGAAAATTTTAAACATAATACAACAAGATGCCTTCCGACAGCGTGATGGATTTCCCTTCCCTGTTATCACGGGGTTACAGACCGGCCGACTTGTCGCGGATTGTTCCCAAGGAGCGCCCGAAGGATTTCCTCAAGAAAGACCACCACAACCACGAAGGGGGGGACCACCGCGGCGACAAGAAAGAAGGTAGCAGCAACTCGGACGATCGCAAGGCCGAACACAATTTCGCGGCTCTGATCGGAACCACGGCGGGCGTTTCCGAAGATCGGTTCTTGTCCAAGCTGGAGCGCGACGAAAAGGCGAACCGGCTCGTCTGTCAACTGGTCATGAAAACGCCGATATATCGGAAATACCTGCGGAGGGACGACGACGAGAATCCGAAAGAAGAAGCCGCCGCACGGTTGGAGTGGTCGACGAAGATGATGGGGGACAACGCGGACCTGAGATCCTATGCGCCAAAAATAAAATGGGTTTCGCCGCTGGCTTCGGCTCTGTCGCTGTCCTCACCAGACATTGACAACAGCGCTGTGCACTCTACAAGCACCGTTACCATCGAAGAAATCACAGAGGACGAGAATACCGACGGAGACGACGGCAACGGCAACCGCAAAGCGACCGACTCCGACTCCGACAGCAGCAGTAGTTGCATCAATCAGGAGAAAAGCAAAGACACTGCGCAGGTGGACAAAAAGAGCACAGATCAAACCAAGAAAAACAAAAAGGAAAAGAATCCCTTCGCGTCCTCCTTCCATCAAGTAGAATTAATGGATTGGGAGTCAAACATCGATTGGCAAGGATTTAAAGAACCTTCCCACAACAAAAGTATTCTTGCTTCAATGAACGACAACACTGGCGCGAACAAAGCAACACCCCACCCTTCTTCAACTTCGAATGCTTCGACCACAACGATAGACGCAACCGCCACGGATGCCATGTCACTGCTCGAGAAACGCAGAAATCCGTTTCTAGAAAACATATCCTTCGAGAAACTCATTTCATGGACTGGGGATCCGGACGAAGCCCTTCGGAAGGCTCGTTCCGAACCACTCATTCTAGAACTCGGCGTGGCGGGAAGGTCCGTTGCAAAATACGTCCTGCCCAACCACCGGCCGACGCCGTATGCAAAATCCAACGAATACCAGGCACGCCTCGGGCTCGGCGACGGAAAGTCGAAAGGAGCAAGGACGAACGGTGCCGTGCGATCCACGGCCGAACTCAACCGAGGAACATTGCACGCGGACAAGGAAGAGCTGCAGCGATTCGTCGAATCGCGACAAATCAAGCGTCGACAGATGGCCAAGGACAAGACCAACCGTGTGAAAGATGCCATGGGCACCTTGAGCTTGCTGGGAAGAGGACGGGGTCGGACGATCACCAGTTCGCTGATGGGACCCGGAGGAACGGAACGAACCGGCCGTCCCGCCCGGCACGTCGGTGCTAGCAGCCACGAACACGAGTACATAGAACAACTCGAAATGATCACGAATCATACACTGGTAAAAAATCCCTCCAAGATCATGCTGAGAGAATACAACCGACCGAAACTTCCCGGAACGATTGTGCAGACGTCCCTGAGCTGGCAGTTCTGTATTCGCTACAATGGGCCTTCCGCGGCCGACAAACAGAAGAAACCGGAAACAAACAGTGCATCGAGTTACCATTCGATGATAATGGGCACGTATGCTGGTGCCGTGAGCAAGACCAAGCTCAGAACCGAAGCCGATCTCACTCCAACCGAGGGCAAGCTGGTCTTTTTTGAGTACTGCGAAGAAAGACCTCCGCTCCAATTGACCAAGGCAATGGCCTCGAAAATTATCACTTATTATCGAGGTGACAAATCGAAGTGTCCTGTGTCTGCTGGAGGGGGGGATCGTCCAACCCGTCGGAAACGCCAAGCGAACAACAATGCAGGACTTGGCGCCGAAAAGAAGGCGGGAGCCGACGGTGCGAATACCAATAGCGTAGACAAACCACCTAGATTGTTTGGACCGAACACGGAAACATCTATCACCGACTGGGTTGGAAAAGCACCAAAGAGAAGCAAAGATGATCGGAAAAATGAAAGGGAGAACTACAACATTCTCCCAGAGGGAGTTACGGAGATTTTGCATCAGAAGGCACACGGTCCATTCATAGGAGAGATCGAAGAAGGCCAATCCGTGACTGGCCTGATCAGCAATCTATTCGTGGCACCAATCTTCCAACACAAACCCGAGCCCACAGATTTCTTGATGATAGTAGGGCGGAACTCGGGTGCCTCTGTAGCAGGTCGTGCGGAATCGTTGAGCGTGGTTTTGCGAGATATGCCAAGCAGCATGTATACCGTTGGACAAACTGAGCCACGGACTCGGGTGTACGCTCCTAATACACAAGGAGAAAAGAATTTCACCGGGCCATTGCTATCGTACCAAATTGCGAAGGTATTGACGCGATCAGAAATGAAAGACGGTCATGGCCTCGACTTCGAAACACTTGGACATCGGACTTTCCCAAAATTGGGTAGTAATGGTATGCGACAACGAATCAAGCACGTTGCATTGTATGACAAGAACACTCAGATTTGGACAGCCAAGAGGATAGGTCAAGATGATTACCCTGGAGTAGAGGCCTTGGGCAAACAACTTTCACCCGAAGGGGTAGTTGCTTGGGAGGTCGCAGATTCAGCCAAACAACGCATGAACGATTTAGGCATTCACCAACTCTATGCGGGATCCCATGCCACTGCCAGCGTCGGTGTCACCATGTTCTATTTGGCCGGCCAAATGATTTCAATAGAAAAATTGGCGAACAAGGTCGCCAACCTACGAGATACGTTCAAATCGAACAAAGCTGTCAAGCCATTACAAAGAAAATACTACGAAGAAGCCGCAAACGAACTTGAAATTATGTCCAACTCGCTTAAGCAAAGGCACGACGTCGCGAAATTCATTCACGAGGAACTGCAACTTGCTCCTTGGCATGTCACCGGTGAATTCACGGACGTTCACGTCAAGGGAGACGGGAGCGGCATGATGAAACTGACGGGGCTAGGTGATCCTAGTGGCATCAAGCAGGGATTCAGTTTTCTTCGAGCGGATGACAGCAAAGCAAACAAGCACGCGGGACCTATCGGCCAGACTGCTGAAATGAAGAAGATCACCGGAACATCAGACGATTTGAGAAAGTTGACCATGAAACAAATGGGTAATATTCTCAAGAAACACGGTATGCCACAAAAGCAGATCGACACATTGAAGCGTTGGGATCGAGTTCATGTCATTCGTGATATCTCTACTATGGGAGCAAGTGATGGAGTGGGCGGTGGACTCGAACGTTTTGCTCGTAAGGAGAAGATCAATTTGAACCAGCAAAAAAAAGAGTACACAGATCGTATTCAGGTCATCTGGAAAAGTCAGATCGACGCCCTGTCTAGCAGACCTGGGGATGGTCGTGCGGAAGAAGACAATGGCGATGCCCAATCTGATGGAGAAGAAGCTGCACAACAAAAGAAGGAAGCTGCTGCGAAAGATGATTCCGACGATTCTGACGACGACGACTTTTTAAAAGGCCTGGAACAAGATTTGATAGTTCAATCGAAAGCTAATCAGCTTGTGGCCGGGCAGTCGGGGGGAGACGCATCGCTGGGTCAACTCCATTTAGCAACACAAGATCAAGCCATAAACAACGATGCGAGGGACCTTGCCGCCTTTCAACGCCAACGAAACGAGGAACGTGCTGCACAAGAAGGAATGACCTCTCACTCACCGACGAGGAGTCCGGGTGTGGGTGCGCCCCAAGTAAATCGCAAGGTTATCCGGCAGCGTGTTACGAAGACTTATCCTACGGGGCACTCGATAACTGTGTTTAAGTTCATTGTCAAACCGGAAGAAGTTGGCCAGAATCTGGCTCGTATGAATAGGGAAGAATACGACCCACCAAAGAAAAGCTACGTCAGACCTGATTATATGCCAGATGAGAAGCAAATCGGGCACGCCATGTTCTCGGACGAAGACGATTTTGAATTCACCACTCGAGGCTCACGAAGCCAGGGTACCAAGAGAAAGGTTGGGGGCCGCAGAGGTCGAGCAGCCGGCCGCACAAAGAAGAAGGATCTGCAGTTTGGAAAGCTCAAAAGCAAAGTTACTAAGGAGCAAAGGATTAAGAAACGAAAGCGAGAAGAAGATGAAATGGAAGTTTACTCTTCTTTCCAGAGGAGACAAGGCACCAGCAATCGCAAAGAACGCGGTTCTATTCGGGATCGACGACCTCATGTAATTTTTGCGAACAAATTGGAATCTATACGTGGTGCTGCCGAGAGTAGACCCAGCGCCAGTGCATTTCATAAACCTGTCAGCAGAAGGGCATATCCTACATACTATGAGATGATCAGCCATCCCATGGATATGGCCACGATCAAGAGCAAGATCGAAAAATATGAATACCGTTCGGCTGAATCTCTGTTGAAAGATTTCGATTTGATTAAGAGCAACGCCATCAAATTCAATGGCGCTGCGCACTCGCTTGCCGTAGAAGCGTCTGCCATCTATGACATGGTAAAGAGCATGATCGAATCGAATAAGGCGGAACTTTCTCACTTAGAACAAGCTGTTGCCGACCAAATGAACACACAACCAAAGAAGAAGTCCAGCTCGAAAAAAAGCTCCACAACTTCTGCTGGTGCCGGAGACGTAAGCCAATTGGGTTCATGGTCGGCTGCCGATATCAATCTGGATGATCTAAGCGACGACAGCGACTAAATAGGGCGGCAATTATGCCTTGCATTTGAGATGCGTGATAGGATGTGATTATCAAAGTACAAGTGAAGGGTGCTCGTATATTTCAATGGAGGCCACATGACAGAGTCTGTGCTTTACGCCATCATGTCCGATTCGATACTACAATGAGATGATGAAAATTTACTTCGCAAAAAATAAACAATCCGAATTAAAAAGAATTTCAAGTCTATTTCAATAACATCGCACTTGTATTGTTTCGTATTATTTCGATATATATCCCTTTCGTTTCTGACTTATACTAATCTTTCTCTTCGGCGCTACTCGAAATGTTCTTCAATTCTTCAATAACCCGATCTTGCATCTCGCAGGTGTTGTTGAGTTTCATCAGCTTTTCTTCTGTTTCTTCCATTTCCTGTTCCAAGTCATCCAGAGTAACTTCCACCGTAAGCTTTTCTTTGAGACGCTCGAGTTCTTGTTGATTCAAAAGGATGCGATCGTCGTATTCCGATTGAATTTCCTTTTTCTGTTCCTCGAGCAATTCGAGTTGCTTCATCAAATCCAATTCGGTCCGGCACCTGTCTTCGACAATGTCACCAATCTCGTGCTTGAGAGAATTCACAACCTCTTCGCAGGAGTGCTCGAGCTGGGTCATCTGATGAGAAGTTGCATCCATCCGTTTCACGGCTTTGGCTAGCTGCGATTGTAGTTTCATGACGTATTGAGAATCGGCACTTCCTCCCTTGGGTGCAACACTCTTGATGAGTTCTGCGTATTCCCGGATGGCGTCCTTGTTTTGCATGTCCTTCTCCAGCACGGTGAGGCGCTCCTCGACGGCTTTGGTCTGGCGCTTGAGTCGTTCTACTTCGATGCGATGCAATATCGATTCCTTCATCTGAAGCAGGCGTTCCTTGTCCAGTTCTTTTTGCAGACCCTCGAGTTCTTCCTGTTTTTCCATTCTGAGTTTTTCCAGTCCGGTAATGTTTTCGTCTTTTGATCGGACTTCCTTTTCGAGCTCGGCGTGTTCGCCCTCGTCGTCTTCCGTGAGGGTCAGCGGTTCGTCCTGCGGCTTCGAGGTGGACGACGGTGTCAAAGAAAACGAGGAGACGGGCTTCGAAGGAGGGGTGTAGTCCTCGTCATCTTCCGGGATGGAAATGGCCGCAATTTCGGTTCGAATATCTTCCGTTGTCGTTTCCTCGGCCATGGTGGAGTTGCTTTGTACGGGGCTGTGGCAGTGGTAAGTACGTACGTATCTGACTGTCGTCGCTGAAGTTTTTAGGTTGTTGTCAAGGGCTTGGTCAACAACGGTCAACCGGCAAGAGGAACCTTCCGTAGGTATCGTACTAGAGTGCACGGACAAAATAAATCACAGAGAGGTGTCGTGTCGTGTGAACTCGCCTTTTTGGGGAAAATATGACTTTATCATGAATAATTTTGGGCAAGACTGATCGAGAGACAAAGAAAATACGGAAATAGTTCAAATATTGATGACTTTTTGGATCGGTTTGAAGGGGGAACGCAGTGATTCAAAACAACACGGTTCTGTTTTGAACGAGTTTTTTCCTCCTTTCACTTAGAGGACGCTGAGTAGGCAGTAGTACTTCTCCGAGCGGCGTCGTACGTGGTACGCGCACACACCGTGCCATGCAAAACTTCCTCTTTCCAAGACCAGACCGACTTCTTCTACGGCACGAGGTACAGTACCAAACACAAACTCCTCCTGCAAGCAGGCATCTTTGAGACACGACGACATCATCACAGAGTTGTCAACCAATACGTGACCAAGCTTAGATTTCGAGCAACCACCAACACTACATAGAACACCACACGGTAGGTACTTCGTACAAGTCCTCCTGGGTTGTGAATCATTCTGGCAGAGGATCGATTCGAGTCTGTCACATACCGTATTCCGATCGGTACCTAAGGTGTGTCGGTTTGATTTTTGCCCATCATTACAAAACAAAGCCTGTGGATTTGATTGATACAATATGGAGAAAGCGCTGTTGCAAGAGATGATTCGCGATCGCGAAATCGCGATACAGTTTCTAGAAAAGAAAATCGCGGTTAAAGACGACAGAGCAGAGAGGCTGAAGCAGCTGCAGGTCGAAACAAACGAATCGAAACTGAAGAAACGACAAGAGCATCGAGCGGAGCTCATGACACTGTGGAAGGATTACGACGCCGTGCTGTGCCGATACMAGGACGCGAAAGACTTACTGGACATGAGACAAAAGCAACAACAGCAAAGCAACGACACGGACGGACAGCAGGAACAAAACCAGGGCGGATCCGATGCCGAGATCTACAACGAAATCATGAACGACGTCGTGGAGCAAGTCGACAGGGATCTAGCCAATGGTGGCGCGGCCGATAGTTCCAGCAGCTACGTCGTAAGGATGCAGTCGGAATTGTGCAAGGCCATGCACGGGATGGGGATCATGGAAACCCAGCGCCAAATGACAAAGGGGCAAATGGAGCTGGCTCAGAAGAAAGCCAAGGATGTTTTCCCGGAGATACGCGAAGAAAAATCCCACGTGGAGCTAAAAATGGTAAATTCTCTGATCCTTGCCGCCGATGAAAAACGAGAGGTAGAAGGCAAATCACGCCAACAGCACGAAATCTTCTACAAAGAAAAGAACGATTTGATGGAGAAGATCGAACGCCAAATAGACGAAGCGATCAACAACGCCGAGGGCAACGATGGCAACAATACCGAAAACGACGCGGAGGAAGAAGAGGCAAAGGAAGAGCTGCAGGGAATCTTGCAAGAGGGAAGGGCAGAGATGGAACGAATCGAGAAGCTGATCAAAGAAAAACAGGCAAAAGTGGAGGAATTGAAAATAAGCGCGGCGATGGCCCAGGGACAAGACGTTGTCGATGATATAGTGACGAGCATAGCAGAAGAATTTGCGGACGGAAACGAAAGTGGCGACGAAGGCAGCGAATACTAGTTCAAGAAACGAAGAGTATAGCGTCAAACAGTATTGAATGGTGAACCAGGAGCGTCTATTTCTAGTACATTTGGCGAAGCTGATATCGGGATCCATGTCCGTATCCTACCGCATCGCATTACTGACGATAGAGAACATTAAAATTATGCGATACCATCGATTAAGAACAAATTGGATAAGAAAGACACGACTTTGCGATGTCTCGTACGAGTTCTCTTCCGAAACTCATTTTCGTCGGCTTGTGACTTTTCGTGCATTTACTGATACAGTGTGATGATAGCAATTTCTGGTACATGATGTTTCCAGGATGCCAAGGAATTTGTGCATTCCACTAGTTATTGATTGCAATTACTGCAACAACTGGAGACTCTCTTTTTCTACAACTACCTTCGTCAAGTCAATCTTCTTGCACAACCGTTCGTGATCGGAACGGATTGTCGAATTTCTGTTGATGCAGCTCGAATCGGTACAGAAACAGGCACAGAGGCAGCTCGGACACTGGCTGTTTCCGGGCAGTGGCTTGTGGCACACAAAACATCGTTTCTTCACCAGCATCGATATCCCCGTAAAACTCCTCCCGCAATTGAACGCCACTTCGCACAGGGAGTTCTTGTCGTGCTGTGCGTGTTGCAATCCAACCAAAAAGTACTCGTTGCCACCAATCATTCTTGGGCAAATCAATCGCACCGAGAGTCCCTTTTCGTAGTAACGAAGCATCTGGACGTTGTACTCCGAGGCATTGAAACAATCAAACGCGCGGTCGGCAAAATGATAGTACAGCGCGAGAACGTTTGGGTCCGGGCTTCCGTCAACTTCGCGGAGCAAGGCGTTGTCTCTTTTCAAGGTGCGTTCTTTTGGCAAGGTGGACGCAGGGGTTGACGCAGAGGCAGATTTTGGTTTGGACACTGTCGCTGTCGTCCGCGGAGAACTTTTGATTTCCTCCAAATTTTCAATCTTGACAGCGAGAACGCCGCTTCCATCTTGCAGCTTTACCCCTACTCGCTGCCCCTCCCCCGGAGCCGTAGCCTTCGTCACAATCCCGATTTTTCCATTGTGCTTTGCCGCCTTTACTAATCCCTTGACTCGTACTTTTGTGCCGCGCCTCATAGTGGACGAAACGTGGTTTGGATTGCAGTTGTGGCCCTTCCGATTCTGTTCCGTGTTCAAACAGATCAAGACCAGATGAAGAGAAATCGATGGAAAAAAGTCCATTAGCATCACCTGTCAATCTCGGAAAGTAATCGAACTAGTCAAAATGAAGCGCTGATCGTTAGCACTATTTGGCACCATAACCTGTGAAATGTTTTACGAACCGTAGGTTTGACATACGGGCTACTACGACGTATCTCATAAAGAAAGCACAAGCGTAACCCTTACTTGTTTGTACCAGAACTGGTATCAATACATGCGGTACGTGATGTGATGCTTGATCCGTGACGGGGGTCATAATTTAGACCCCTGATCCGTGATACAGTACGTGGACTGAAGTACTAGTAATAAGTAATACATACAGATATGTATCATATATAGTACTAGTATATATTAAGCGTAAATGATGGATGACTGATGATCGAGGGTTGAGGATGGCGGCTCATACGAGTACGTACCCAAAGAATATTTAGAGTAGTCGTACCGTATGGTACGTACGTACCGTATCATAAAGTTAGGTACCACTGCACTGCGTACTGACTTACCCGAAGTAAATCTACAGTACGGTACCTTGCTGTACAGTAGTACGAGAACGGAGTACTCGTACGCACCGTAGTGGATTCTTGGCCTCCACCCAAACGTGTACTACCAGGTACGTACCATACATACATACATACTCGTACGGCCCCTGGTACACCAATTGGCCCACAAGGACCACCTTTACACGAAGTTCGTGTACTGTACCATACGTACTCCTGAAGATATTGTGCGAGAAATACGATTACCTTACATAACACCGCATGTCTGAACCGTCAGTGAACTAGTGTCAGATAAAACAAGAACACTATTACCCTAGGATCACGGAAAGAGAGAAAGCATCAGATGCAAGAGTTCGGCATCTCCCCATCATCTCTAATGTTCAATACAGCAGTGATCATCCCAGTCCTTCCACTCCAACCACGATTATAACTATCACCATGCAAAAAGTCGGATCGCTTGCACTCCTCTTCGTCGTCCAGAAAACTTCTCTGGTTTGTGGCTTCGCATCCCCGCAGATCGTTGCAGAACGACAGCACGAAGCTGCATTCCGGCATCAGCATGCTTTTCGGCTGTCTTCTTCTGGTGCTTCCTCAACATCGGAAATTCGTTCCGACTACAGCTACGACACTCTGTTCGATTTTGCCGATTCGGAAAAAGGGGCAGATGCCGTTTCTAAGTTCGACCGCATCGACGACGCAATCATGGGTGGGATTTCCACCTCCTCCCTACGATTAAAGAGTTGCACAGAAGCGAATGGGACTGATGATTCCTCCTATGCAAGCTGGTCGGGTGTCTGTAGACTTGACGGAGGCGGCTTCTGTGGTACCCGGACACTTCCATTCGTCGACGGAAAACCACTCGAGGTGGGTGCCGACAAAGAAGGCTTGTTCCTGGTAGTCAAACTGGCAAGCGACGACGAGCCGGAAAGACGTGTCTGGAAAGTCACAACCCGAAACCTGAACAATGCTCGGAGCGAGCAGCTATACCAGGCAGAATTCCAAATTCAAAAGAAGGAAGGAGGAAAATCCGACAGCGGCTGGGAGACCATTCGGGTCCCGTTTTCGAGCTTTGTGCAGGTCCGCGGGCCAAGGGTGATCGAAAACGGACCTCCCCTGGACCCCACGGGGGGTCTATTCCAGATTGGTATGAGTTTGTCCAAGTTTCAAATCGCCAGCAATACCACGGAGCTTCCAAACTTTCGTCCCGGCTACTTTGAGCTGCAGATTCGAGAGATAGGGCTCTATGGAACCGCAAGCAGCAAGGCGGCACAAGCAACAACATCGAACATACAGACGTTGACAAAGAAGGAAGCCGAGCAGCAGCGACCTGCAGCATTGAAAATTTTGCTTCCATTGTTGAAATTGTTTTTTAGCGAACAAAGGTGAGGAGCTGCAATTTGATTGAGATACCTTTGGCCTGGATGAATGATTGACTGATTAGCGATCGAAAATTGCTGAGTACTACTTCCGTGTTGACTGACCCTATCCATTCCACCGTATTATACGGTATGTCATGTCTGTATTTTTTGACGAATGCGGCATTGAACTCATCTCGATAACTATATCGATTTCGTTTCTGTGATCAAATTTCGAATGTATCTACAATTTATGTGTTTGATTGCATCAATGCAACTTCGTAAATATTTCACTTTCACCACCCGGTTGCGTGCATAACTACGACCCACAACATATCATTCGATCTTCTACGCTTCTACAAATTTTCTGATTCAGAAATCGACAGAAATCGGCTACCCGGCTTTTGAAAGCCCGGGGCCTAAACCAGTTGGAGATTGCCGTGTTCGGAATCCGACGGAAGGCAACTAGCAAGGGAATGGTTTTGGCCCTTGCAGACTTTTTCATGCGATTGTCATCGACCACAGTACGCCTTTCCTTATTTTGGACGCTGAAATTGGCTCTCTTCTACCCTCTCGTCACGACACGCAAGATCGCAAGGAAATTGGCAGCAGTTTTTTCGAAGAAACCTACGGCCCAAGGAAGCGATGCGCTCGGCAGCGAGTAGAACTAACAGCGTTAGTAAAACATCGGCCTTCCAGTGGCTCTAGAAATCCTTGTGATTATTCATTTTCAAGATCGCAGTGCAACATGTAATACTTTTCACTTGATGAGTTTTTGTGCGACGGAGATAAAATAACACAATGTACTACAAGCAATCCTTCTGAAAGACTCCTTCAAGGTTTGAATATTTTACTCTAATTTATGCAGACTTTTACCACTAGGTCGTCGCGGGGACGACGCCTTATTGATTTCGACAAGGTCTTTAATTTTCCACCTTATACAAAACGCATCAATTTACTGATACATGAATAACATCAAGGCCGCAATCGCATACCAGCAAGATGTCTGGAGTCGTGCGCCTTCCGACAAAAATGAGCTCTCAGTCTCGAAGTTCTGGTCTTCAGCTATGTCCTCCTCGAAGCCACCAGGAAGCAATACAGTATCAACCATATGAATGACACCATTGCATGCTTCGATGTCGGATGATACAATTCTTGGTCTCAATTCATCGGTATTTCCTCCACCTTTTTGAAACACTGGATAATGGTCTTCGCATATGGTACGACTATCTTTTCCAGATGCCATTCGCAACAAATTTTTCCCAGTCCCGTATCCGCAGTGCATGTCATCCAAGTACATGGCTCCGTCGTGGATACTGAATAGAACAATTTCGCGAAGAAATTCTATCTGGTTGATGGAGCCCACCGTATTAATGGCTTCATTGATAGGAGCGAAGACAGTCAATGACTCTTGACCGGTAAAGAGACTTTCAAGCTCGGTGGTCTGTATCCATTCGCAAAACTTGTCGAGGCCATTAGTACCGCACGCTATTTCGTAAAGACCTTTGCATTTTTCGTTACCGTATGCCGATGGGACTGCTGCAAGCACCAAGCTGGTGTAAATAACGGCGATTTTCTTCATAAAGAACATTGTAGAGAAGATTGGTTTACTGCATTGATTTTTTTTATGTTTCCTTCTCCTTGAGAAGAAAGGGAAAATGAGTCGGGTTCTTCAAAATTTGAAATCATTTTCGATAGTGGTCATGATTCGGTCACGTTCTCTGTCCAAGACTCAGGTGCGCTAAATTATGCGTTGTGAGAAAATTCCGCCTTGCTCGATTGATCCGGGAATGTATTTTGTGTACGGTGGATAGTAATACAGTACGGTACGTACAGTACCTTACAACATATGAAGATGCCACAAGTCGTTTACTACTAGTACCAGCACCACCAGCACCACCAGCACCACCATCAGTACTACTAGTAGTAGTACCTATCAGTAAACAATAACAACAATGACCACAAAAATAGTAAGAAAAAGCATTTGATGCTGTTGTTGCTTTTTTTAATTAGACTTACTAGTAGTACTAGTACTAGTAGTACTACTACGTGTGACGTACTACTACTATCATTAGTGGTGGGCTTGTTCTTCATTGCTACTAGTACTAGTACTACTGGTAGCTAGTACTGCTAATGGTGGTCTATGCTCTCATGTATAAATTTCTTCTTGTTGTACTAGTAGTATTACTACTAATAGTGCAAGAAGAACGCAACTCCAGTTGCTTGTTGTTTTCATATTAAACATTAGTAATCGCACTAGAAGTTTTTATCAGGCCATGTCAAAAAGGGTGTTCCTGGTGGTGCTGCTGCACTCTTACTACTACTAGTACTGCTATAACAAATTTATTACTGGTACTAGTAGTACTAGTGCAAGTAGCAGCAGTGGTTTGTTCTTGTATTCAGCAGCTTGTATCAGCCAGCACCTCTCTGGTGATTTCCCAGCATTAGCTGGTACCCACCAACACTGGTGATATGGATCTTGTAGATTAGAGATGATGGCTTAATACTCAAGAACAAGGCAGCTTGTATTATTAGCCAGCAGCTTATTAGTAGCTTGCATCCATCGGCTTGCATCCATCGGCTCGCATCCATCGGCTCGCATCCATCGGCACCGGTGTCCGTCAGCCGCGGAGGACCGGCCGCGAGAAACACCCCGGGAAAGCCTGCGAAAACCCCAGGGCGGCCATTCCCCCGACGAAGGGGTCGTCTTCCGGGTACGGCAGGTTCGCCGCCGGCTGGCCACCGCACCCCCGGGCGTCCAGCAGGCAGAGCGGGTGGTCGACCGTGCTGTGGGGGCGGCGGCGCAGGGCGTTGAGGATCCAGTGGCCCGCGTGGTCGTGGTGGCCGCTTCGCCGGCCGGGCGTCCTCCCCCGGTCGGGCCCAAGCCTGCCGATCTGCAGGCCGCGGCAGGATGCCAGGCGGAGTTCGGCCAGCGAGTCCCTCCGCTCGTGGAGCAACCGGTACACGCCCGTGGCGGTCACCCTGGAACAAAAGGACAGGTCCACCGAATACAAATCCCGCAGACCGAGGGCGATGGCCCCAACGGAAGCATCGGTGATGCGCTTCAGGTATCGCAGGTGCAGGTGCCGCAGTCTTCCGGTCCCGTGGCCGCGCTGGGACCTCCCCTCGACAAACGCCCGAACGAACCGATCGGTCAGCCTGTGGCACTCGCTGACGATCAGGCTGTCCAGGTTGTGGATGGTGGACAGAACCGTTGCCGTGTCGTCCTCGAGGTCGTGGCAGCCCCACAGGTTCAGAATCACCAGCCGGTGGTGGGTGGCGGAACCGGCGGAGGAAGGCCCGCCGCCGCTGCCGCCGACCGTGCCACCTTGGAAGGCCAGGCGGTGCAACCGAACGCACCCCCACAGGGTGAGTTGCTCCAGCTTGGAGCACGACGTCGTGATGGCATCGATGCTGTTATTGGTCAGCTTCCAGTTGTCTCGCAGAAAGAGAGCCCGCAGGAACACCAGGTTCCGGATGCAGGTCCCGCCTTTGTCCGTGATGTTGGTGAGGTGGGAAAGGTCCAGCACTTCCAGCCGAACGCAGGAGGCACAAATCGCTTCGAGACCGGCGTCGGTGATCCGGCGGAGTCCCTTCAGGTACAGGACCCGAAGAGACGCGCTGGACGGGACGTCCGATCGCGCCAGGAGCTTCAGGGTCGAGTCGTCGAGGCGAGGGCAGTGGGACACGTCGAGGACCCGGAGATTCTGCAGGTGCGGAAGCGCAGAGTGCAGGTCCTCCTTTTCGAGGTCTCCGAATCCACTCAGGAAGAGACTCTGCAGGCTCGAATACGAATACGCCAGCAGCTCGCGCAGCATCTTGGGGGTCAGGGTGCTCCCGCCGCTCGTGGACGCGCTCGGTGTCGCTCTCCCGCTCGCCACCGGGTAGGCGTTGTTGTTGGCATCGATCGACCTGGAAACCCCGCATTCCTGGACTATTTTCTTCCAGCAGCGGCAGATGAGCCGGCACTGCATTCGCTCCCACAGGTCCAGAAAGGGAATCACGATGGGAAGCACCGTTTCCGAGCGGAGCTGCCAGGACATGCTGCGGCCGGGGCCCGGAGCGGAGCCGGTGTCCCAGCTTCCCTCGGCGCTCTCGGCCAAACCATTCCCGAGCAAACGTTCGGCTCCGGGCTCCCCGGATTCTCCTCCTTCCGCGACAGCCCCCGCTTCCGCGTGGACCGCCGAGAGGCACCGCCGCAGCCGGACGGTTTCGTGCTCGGCAAAGCTGGCGCGGTGGATCTCGGTCCGGGGGGGGACCGGCGAGCCGCTGCCACCGCTTCGAAAGACCTCCGTGACCGTGTACTTGACCTCGAGCCGCTTGGTCTTTCCGGGGCAGGGGTCTCCGAAGATGGCGTTCATGGAGGCCGCCCTCGACCCAGGAGCGTCGGTGTCCTCCCGGCGGTCCACACCGGGCAGAAGGCGGAGAAAGCCCTGGATTTTCCCGTCCACCGTGGGGGAGAGGCGCACCGTGTCGTGGCACTTCTCGTGCCGGTTGTTTTGGCGTTGCGGCTGCGGTTGCGGTTGCTCCTGCTTTCCGTCTCCCCGCTCGGTCTCGCTCGCGGCCCACAGGAGGCCGAGGACCAGCGAGGAACAATCCCTCGTCGACGGCACCGGCGCCTCGCCGGACCCAAGACCGCCGCCGTGGTGGAGCTCGCAGGGACCGTACGAGGCCGACAGGATCCGGAGCTTGATCTCCGACGGGAGCCGGCGCGGTTCTTCCCGGGCCGGGGCAGGTTTCCGGCGAAAAGACGGTCGGGGCCGGACATCGCTGCCGCCGCCGCTGCATCGGCCGAAGGGGGCTCCGGCCGACCGCTTTCTTCCCTTGTCCCCGGTCCCGCGTCCGTTGTCGTCGCTGTCGCCCCTTGCTTGGAACGAATCGTCGTCAGCGTCGCCACCGGTCATCGTTTCGGAATTTCTGGCCGCGGCAGTGTCATGTTCCTTCTAAGCAAAGCAGTCTTGCTTTCGGCGAGAGGATCCATTCGTTGGTTGTGCTTTGGACGATCTGATCGATCGATCGATCGACCACGGTGACAATGAATGTTTTCTTCCTATAGTTTCAACGAGAGGGCAGAATGCATCAATTCAGAATTTGATCCATGGATGGTACAGTAGTACCTGGTACTGAGCGTACCATAGATCCAACCATAGTAATCATACAGTAGTACTGTGCTGTATGGTGTCCGTTGAACATTAAAGTACAAGCTCGTATCAGTACGTAATGGACGCTGGACGGAATAAAGTACAAGCAGAGCTTGTTAACGGCTAAGTGGTATGAGTAGAGTACAATGAGTTGGGTATGCCGTACAATACCGTATGAGCATACCATAGCCAATGTGGTGGAGATTTTCTGTGTCTTTGTACCCATAACCTATGAAGAATAGTAGAAAGTATGAGGACACGTGTTGTCCAAAATGTTGTATTCTGACATGGTATGTTCGGAAACACTACTACATACATACATACATACATATATCCATATATCCATACATCCATACATCCATACATCCATACATCCATACATACATACATACATACATACCTACATACCTACATACCTACATACATACATACCTACACACCTACATACATACATACATACATACATACATCCTATGTATGTATCATAGGATGCATCATAAGATCGTAAGAGGTCTACGATATCAGAAATAGAATACTTCGCAAGGAACAAAGATGTCAGTAGATCAGAATAATAAGAACTCTGTGTAGATTTAGTACCGAGAGNTACATACATACATACATACATACATCCTATGTATGTATCATAGGATGCATCATAAGATCGTAAGAGGTCTACGATATCAGAAATAGAATACTTCGCAAGGAACAAAGATGTCAGTAGATCAGAATAATAAGAACTCTGTGTAGATTTAGTACCGAGAGGTACACAGGATCTAATCAGATCTATTGAAAGCTCAAGTCCGAGCGGGAGAATCTTAATCTCATAATTTCAATTTTCATACACCTACTAAGAGTACACGTAATCTCGTGCACATACATACATACATACATACATACATACATACGTACATACATACGTACATACATACGTACATACATACGTACATACATACGTACATACGTACATACATACATACATACATACATACATACATACATACATACATACATACATACATACATACATACATACATACATACATACATACATACAATGCTCCCTCTGAAGACATACCTTCTTCCCTACCCATATATCATAGTGAATTCTTCATCCATGTATGATACGATCTATCTGTCAAGGATGTAAAAGGTCCAATGATCTTAAGAGGTCCAAAATATATAATCATAAAGAACAAAGATGTCATGAGTTCCGAATAGTAAGAACCCTTCATAGTTTCAGTACCAGACCTACAGAAGTATCTAATCTGGAATGTCGGAAATCTGAAGAAGAAGGGATATGAGAATTATCTAACTTCTAATTTTGATTTGTAGTACATAAACATAGTAAGAGTACTGCTGTATTTGTGCAGAATTACTGTTTAGAACATGCACAATTAGTASAAACAACTAAAAATGTCATGGACATAAAAATACGGGGTTAGTAGTAATTATATGTATGGCTACTGGGTTATATGTCTGTTATTTGTCATTGGTCGTTGGGAGTACAAATCGGAGGGTTGCCAAAAACCTTTTTATTGAAATGTGGAGGGATGAATCGACACAAATGGCAAATAATACTGGTTAAGACCATGGGAATATGCAAACTTCTTGTTATTATTTTTACAGACTATGAAGTATCAGAAGATGTAAAAAGTRCCACGGAGAACACAGAGATAGACAGGGAGAGAAGACATACAACAAAGACACAGTTGCTGATATCATATTGATGTGATGAGAAGAGGGAATATGAACCGYTCTTTAAGGAGATTCAATATCACTATCATCACCACCAGTTTTTCCGATATCTTCACCACCAGTATCAGTGTGAGGGTAACCAAACAACTTTGCGGTCTCTGAGTAATCACCATTACTGTCAGGGGAAAAGAAAGATCCAGGTTGCTTAAGATGATTATACATGGAGTTCTTGTTACGGATATCATCACAGAAATAAGTCATGATAACTCTACCAACACTGTCATCAGTGAAGATATGATCAAGAKGTCTGTATGGTGTCTGTGTCTTGCTGTGTTTGATGGAATTCCAGTCAACATAGACAGTCATCATGTCTCTTCCTTGGAGTAAATTTTTTTCATGTCTTTCCTTGTTGTGAGTCATTAACTCCTTTTCACATGCATCACGGAAAATTTTCTCAAAGAATTGATCATCAATTTTTGATGCTGTTGGATTATTTGCAGCAATGTTGTTTTTTTCAGGGACAGAGAGAAGGGCAATTTGGTTGTATTTGTTTCCGGTCGAACCTCCTATTGGCACAAATGAGTTATCATCTCTTGACTTTCTCAAATACATGTAATCATTCATTGAACAATCAAAGGTGTTTGGATCAGCAAGGGACTTTGGAATCTCAGGAGAGAAAAGAGGTCTAATGTAAGCTCCATTTCCTGACTTCTGAAGTCCKGTGAGAACAATAAATTCACCTTTCATTCCACAAGTTTCTGTCATGAGAATATCAGAGAAAAGCATAGTATTATTTGAGGATGATCCCCGAGATTTAGATTTTGGAGCAACATAGAACTTGAATTCTTGCTTGATKGTAKGTGAAATAACAGGAACCAAAGGTAATGGTGGGATGCGTGTAACACTTGAAGTAGCATACTTTTTTGGGCTGGCAGCAACAGGACGCAAAGGTAATGCTGGGATGTCCGTAGGAGTTGAAGTAGCAGTTTTTTTTCCACTTGCGGTCTTAGTGATACACTTTTTACCATTTGCTTTAGCAGTCTTAGTCATGATTTAAAATATTTGTTTGTATTTTATATGTGGGCAAAATATGAATTGATTTGTGAGACAGATTGTTGAAAATAATTTCTTGATTGAAAAGGGGAAAAGACACAACATGTTCCTTTTCTGTATTGGGCGATGGAAAGAGCATAGGAATGTGTCAATAGTGGGTGTCAAAACATCATACTAACATTAAGAAAACTCGACCAATTTCTGAAGGCATATGTTACACAAATTTCTGTCAAGCAGATGGTTTCAAGAATAGGAATGAAAATATTAAGATGGATATACAATAATATTCGCCAGAGAAAAAAGATTCCATGTCAAACTTTCCCCTTTCTTCAGTTTCAACGGTTGTATTATTCATCAGTTTTTGTTAGGTTGTTGTGTTTTGATATTCAAGGTTTGTATATTATTRTTGTTGTTGTTGTTAAGATTCAATCTTGATTTGTTCTTCAGTTTCAACGGTTGTATTATTCATCAGTTTTTGTTACTTGTCTTGTTTTGATATTCAACGGTTGTTTATTATTGTTGTTGTTGTTGTTAACATTCAATCGTTGATTTGTTTTATGGGTATAGTGGACCGTGAGGCCAGTTTGAGGTTGAGCTTTGGCTAACCTGAAGTTATTATCGCTTTGTAAATGTGTGTTGAATTTAATGTTGGTGAAGTATTTGACATTAACACTCTGTTTCCATAAAAAACACATCTTGCAAAACAGCAAATATTAGTGTAATATCATAGCAAAATTGATAATAAAATAATGAACAATATAGAGAATCTCACTGAAGAGGCAATTGATGCTGTGTATGTTGAGGCATCWTGTGCTAGAAATAATCTCACAGCATACAGCAATGAAATGGAACAGAGAGGTAGCAATGGGTTGAAAAAGCATATACCAAAGGTTTGTTGTATCTGCGACAGGTTTATTATGTATGGTGAAGAATCATGGATAAATATAAAGGATTTTAAATCAGAACAAAAAMTACTCAACAAAATGTTCCATAAAGATAATGTGGAAGATGTATATAATCTTTCTCACTATGCAAAACGAACCCTGAGAAGGTACTATACACAATCCTATTTCACCTTTCAGAGTTGTGCCAATGAAGGGGAATTAGCAGAGGTGGAAGTTGTAAATCAAATGATGCTTTCTMCAAGATCTTATGGGAGGCTTAAGAACATGAAGAAGTGTACAAAACAATTAGGATGTTGTAAAGAATGTAAGAATGGAATTAGGAATTCATCAAGAAACGACACTAGCACATGTGGTCCACCAAAATTTTCTATTGTCAATGGTCTTATGATTGGCAAACCACCACTAGCCCTGAGTGACTTGAATGATGTGGAACTTGCACTAATTTCTTTGGCTCGAACTGAAAAGCATATTTTTTCAATTACAGCTGGATCACACAAGGAGATCAAAGGATGGCATACTATGTATGCAAATGATGTGGAATACACGAACAGGGTAATGAATTATTTTAATAGTAGAGAAGTTGATGGTGGGGAAAATGTGATATATTCTGATACTGAAGATAACAGTGACACATTAAGTGAGACATATGAGGACAGCAATRATGAACATCAATACAGAGACAATGAAATAAGAAACAATGAGGAAGATGGGGAAAATAATGGTGGTGTGGATCTTTCTGAGTATGGGAATATTGCTGTTATCTTGACAGGTCCTTTCACAGAACAGCAATATGCGTTAACACTGAAAAAAACTACAGTTCGAGTTCACAAAGTTATAGTGGCACTGAGATGGTTGAAAAGGAACAATGTATTATATAAAGATGTGACTCTTGATGACACTATAGCAAAGCCTTTGGTTATTGATTGTCATGAAATAGAGGATTCATCAACTTCAAACATTGAGACAGTATATGAAATGAATGCCATGTTTTCAGATAACCAAGAGCCAGGATCAATAAATGGGGGGTACAAAAGTACTTGTGAATTCAAACAAGCCACACTTGACAAACTCACCACTTGTAAAGGAGATAAAGAAAGAACTTTGCTAGCAAGATCATCATCAACAAGAATTAAGGAGTATGTSGGTGAGAACTTTCTGAAAGCATTTCCATTGCAATTTCCATATGGTGTTGGTAATAAGGATGCTGAAGGTAAAGAAAGGTCAGGAACGAAATTCTTGCAGTATCTATTGTATCTTTCATGTCCAAATTTTCATTTGGCAGATTTTGTGGCTATTGTCCACAATGTATGGGAGAGGAAGAATATGATACAAAGAGCTTTTATAAATGTATCGAATGTGCAAAAAGCTTCCATCAGTGGCATTAAGAATGAAGATATGGATGGAGCAATTTTTAGGTTCATTAATAAAGAGGAAGGAAGCGAACCTGCAGATATGTTTCTCT